AGGCTGTCTGCCCCCCAGAGCGAGCAAGCTGGGGTGGGCAGCCTGGCAGTAAGGCTCAGATGTGGGGAAAGACGCTGTGCTGTGTCCCAGTGTCCCCCCATGAGGTCCCCCAGGTGGGCTGGCAGCACTGTCACCCCACATTGCTGCTCAAGGGCAGGAAAAAGGGCTTCGGGTATCTTCAACCTTTTACTACTCAGGTGCGTTACGTGGCTTCTCTTGGGTTTGCAAACACAGCCATATCCAAAAGGGCAAAATTTTGTGAGGCTGGATGAAGAAAGGTGCCCTTCCTTCCTGCTGTTGTGTCAATGATCTCTTACCCCTGAGTGAATCCCTAAATGTTTTCATTGAAACCCCTCCTCAGCAAAGTTAACCCAGTGACAGTAAGGTGCTTCCCCTTTAGTTACCTTATGTGACCCTTTAGAAGGAACTTCTGTCCCCCAAGGCCTGTGACCACAGCCAAAAACATTGGTAATGGGTGTATTGGGTCTTTTACTTTTGAACAATTTTGTTAACCATGCTCTTGTCCTCCCTGCTCCTGATGTCGTTCCCTGCTTGGCTGTGATGCAGACTGCTGGAGTCCATGATTCCTGTGAAGATGATTAATTTCCCACAGGTGAGTTGACCCCATGGCCAAGTGACCATCCCACAGACACCTTTTAAAACTAAAGTAGTCCATGTTATTGAGGACTTGAGTTTGTTAGGTTTTCATCTCTCTGAAAATACCAGTAAACCCTTTCTTGTGGTTGTTCCAAACCCCGATCTGCTACCTTTAGTACTGGTACAGCTCTAGCCCTCTAGGTTTCACACATCCCACACTCCTCATCACACAACCTATTCTGCCTGGCTCCTGTCAGCAGTGGCCTTGCTGTTACTTCTCAGGCAGACAGGTGATAAACTTCATCCAAGGCACTTCTCGAATCGCTTGAGGTGGGGAGCCTGGGATTCAGCAGCACTAACCAAACCTTCCCTGATCTGTCTCCTCCTGTAGAAGATTGCAGGTGAGCTTTATGGACCCCTCATGCTGGTTTTCACACTGGTGGCCATCCTTTTGCATGGGATGAAGACCTCGGACACCATCATTGTACGTCGAGTCTCAGTGATAAGTTGTGATTTGACTGGGCTCTGGATTGCCATAATGACACTAGAGAGGAAACCTCTTGCATGACTGAACAGCATCTTGCTGAAGAGCAGATTTATTTGAGGAAGAGCCTGTTGGTTTGGGGATGGGAGGAAGGATGCATGAGGAAATCTTGATGCTCTGCCGCTGGAAGAGCTAGGGTGCCAGTCACGTGCCACCCTGGGTGCTGTTTGTCAGCTATTTGCTAATGCCTAGAAAGGCTCTGGGAACTCTCTGCAGTGGGATTTGGGTGCTGGCAGATCACTTGGAATCGTATAATTTCTTGAGTTGGAAAGGACCCATAAGGATCATAGAGTCCAACTCCCTGCTCCTCGCAGGAATACCTAAAGCTAAACTGTGTGACTAAAAGCACTGTCCAGACATTCCTCATCACTTCTTTGAGTCCTCATCCTGACGCTGTCTCCGCAGAGGGAAGGCACGCTGATGGGCAGCTTCTTTGAGTCCTCCTCATCCTGACACTGTCTCCGCAGAGGGAAGGCACGCTGATGGGCACAGCTATTGGCACCTGCTTCGGTTACTGGTTGGGCGTCTCCTCTTTCATCTATTTCCTGGCATATCTGTGCAACGCCCAGATCACAATGGTGCAGATGCTGTCGCTGTTGGTATGTACAGACGGGGATGCCCCAAGGTGTGGGTTGGCTGCGTGGTGTTCCAGCACGAGGGTGGCCTGTGAGCTCTTCCCAGAGTATGGGAAAAGTCCTTGTAAATCGGTGGTCCCAGGTGACTGCACAGAGACGACCTGGAATTCCAGGCTGCTATTCTGACCTGCCCCATCCCAGGCATGGCGATAGCACAAAGAGGCAGTTCCTTTGTGCAGGTCTCCTGCTTTGCACTTCCTGATCTGAGAGCCTGTTGGTAGAAAAACAGGCGATTCTAATTTCTCTGGAATTGGAGGCTCTTTCCTCTGTTTCCCAAGTTCTTGCAGTCTCTGACATCCCTGTGAATCCTTCAGACAGATTATCCGGGTGTGAGCTGCTATTAAAATTATTGTGCTGGTTGACTCTTTGGCATTGAATGAGTGGTTTGTGAAGCTTTGCTTTGGTGGAGCATTGCAGGAATAGGCTGCCGATGCTTTTAATCAACGGCCCGTTGTGTGGGACTGATGCTTGTAACATGGATGTTTTTGTTTTGTCAGGGCTATGGCCTCTTTGGACACTGCATCACTCTCTTTGTCACCTATAATATCCACTTCCATTCCCTCTTCTATGTCTTCTGGTTGGGTGTTGGTGGACTGTCTACACTACGAATGGTAAGGGACAGGCAGCCTGGGGCCCTCCTCTTCTGGGGACAAAAAAAGGGAGGGAAGTGTTGTTTGCTTTCTATTCCTTGGGCCAGGCAGTTCATTCAGCCAGTCAGGCTGCTGAGAAGAACAGCTTGATGTTCCTGAGTCATTTGGCCACTGGGGTATGGAGGTGACACCTGGCTTAATATCCTCATGCATTCAAACAGCTGCAGGAGGTTTGCTCCCTTACAGCCCCTGCTGCCATGGAGAGCCACGCCTGAGCATCCTGAACTCTTGACAAGACTGGCCAAGGTTCACCTACGTGAAACAAAATCAGATTACTCTAAATTTGGTGATGCAAACTGAAAAAAAGGCTCTGAGCAGTGTTCCCACTGGCTCTTGCTACTTGGAACATCCTCCTGTGTGCTCCTGACGGCAATGCCAGAGGCCTTGTCTCTGATTTCCACCTCTCTCCTAGGTTGCTGTGTTGGTGTCGCGCACCGTGGGGCATACCCAGCGGCTCATCCTATGTGGGACCCTTGCTGCTCTGCATATGCTTTTCCTCCTCTATCTGCACTTTGCTTATCACAAGGTGGTAGAAGGTAAGCAAGGGAGATACGAAGACACATCCTGATAGATCTGGGGGAAGAGGACCTGCCTTTTGTTCTCTCTGAGTGAAGGGATGGACAGTTTGGATCTGACCTGAGGGCATCTGTGCCGGTTTGCAACCCAAGAGTGACCAGCACTAGCTTTATTAGAGGAAGCTGTTGAAGTAGGGCAGCAGGTAGATGTGGGGTACTCTGAGTTTTAGTACTTGCAGTACTTAAGACCTAAGTTGTGAGGCAGGACGCTTATTCTTTCCCCAGGAGTGAAGCATTACAGCACTGACTGTTCCTGCATGCAGATGTCTGGTTCCTTCCTGAATCTTGCTGAAGTCAGGTTGATTTTCTCTGATCAGGAAATGTGTCATAAGTCTCTTTCCTTCTTTGTGTAACACCTTTTTTTATCTTGTGTTGTACAACACTGATAGCAGAAGCTGCCTCTTCCCCAGTCAGTGCCATTTACCAGGCTACACATATCATATTCAGGTCCCCTTAAAAAAAAAAAAAAAAAAAAGAGCCCTTTCTGAGTTTAGGCAGCCAGGTCTGTCTGTTCATGGTATTATAGCGAAATCTGCATAATTTGGGGTTACAGCACAGCATTACACGAGTCCTTTTAGATGTAAATACTGTTCTTTCCTGAATCCATTCTTATGGTGAAGGTTCTGAGCTCTGATGTGCAACTTCCCAGCAGATGAAACAGAAAGTTGCTTGGAGTATATTTTATCCTTCAGGGATCTCTAAGACTGATTATCAGTCTTGAGAAGGTCACTGACAGGAACTGGAGGACACTTGTGTCGGTACACGTATTTCCTGCCAAGCAGGGACTATGTTCATGTTGCAGTGACAAAAATTCCATGTTGCACCCCCAGCTGCACCTCCTGATGTGAGTCTGCAAGTCTATCTCCAGATGAAAGCAAAGAATTGGTCTGTGCTGGGATGAGGTTGGGAGAGGATTTTTATGAAGCTGCCTCAGCAGAGCAGCAGCCCTGGCAATGTCTGCATTCAGGTCAGATGGCAGGGGACTGGATCTGGTACCCTCAGAGTGAAAGGATCTGTGTTCCTCTTGGGAACATGCAGTTTCCCTGCCCCAAGGACAAGCTCTGATCCATACCCTGTGGTGTTTAGATGGAGGTGTTTACTTCTGTTCATTTTGGGGGGCTAGATGTCTCCTCCCATCGCCTCCATGTGCTTCATGTGTCTTGAGCCCTGCCACCATCAGCCGCTACCTGGCCAGAAAGAAAAGCAAGAAGGAATATGCCATCTGCACCTGAACTAACTCTTGCCACTCTCCCCATTTTTCTGTTCCCTGCAGGTATCCTGGACACATTGGAAGGACCCAACATGCCACCCTTTCAGAGAGTTGCCAGAGACATTCCAGTTGTTTCCAATGCTGTACTGAACACAACAGCCAAAGCCGTTGCATTGACCCTGTAGTTGCACAGGCTTGGACTTACTTCCTTAACTACTTTCGGGGCTGCATAGGGCCATAATAACCCGCTGCCTCTTAGGAACTGGACAGAACAGCAGGAAGAAAATTTGGTTTTGTTTTCCTGGACCTGTCCTTTGGGTTGCAGTTTTGGGCAGCTGAGTGGACTGCACCTCAGTGACTCAGAAGAAGTACGCT